GGCCTTTAAAGTAACTAAAGTAGTACACGAGTAAAATCAAGGTGGCAAAATCCATATAAAAATCCATATAATCCAAAAATCCGTATAAACATTTGTATGTAAGCTATGGTTGTTTTCACGGCTGCCATGTTCAGCTTAAAAATGTCCTGGTTACAACTTTTTAATGTCACACAGTGGCTGAATGTAATGTCACACAGCACTTGAACACACAGTATAATCTCTTGATTCATAGGAATTACCGAGAGATGTTTTCTTTCCGATCCTTTGCGCCAAATATAAGACACATGTTTGACAGCCTTTCCGTAAATTTTCTGATTTATAGTATGGTTCTTTTCCACCAAGTGTCCTTGAACTAAAAAAAGAAAAATATTATACCTAATTTTTGTTTTTTTAATATCAATCTTTTACCACTTTTAACCAAAACAAATTCATACTAAAGACAACTTAAAGTACAACGATGGCTATAGTACCATTAATAACATTAATTTAAAAAAAGTTCTTTTAAATGTAATTAAAGGAGCAGAAAAGTCATGCCCTTGGACACTGGGAAAGAGGGATCATAACTGCTGCACACGCTGGGGCCTGGCTAAAGTTAGATACATTGGATTGTATCTAAGGGAGATATAAAATAAGGCAAATGCACCTAGTGTATTTTCCTCAGTGCAAGTGCAAGTGTGACAAAAAAGTGCAAGTGACTGCTCACCTTTTAGTTATATACTAGGCTCTTAATATCAAGACTTCTTGAAGGCTGCACCGTTCCTGTGGAACGATGCTCATCCAGTCTCCACTCCTTCAAAAAATCATTACAAACCCATTTCTTCATAAAAGCGTATCAATTAAACTGTTAATAGCTCCTGACTGATTCCTCTCTTGCAACTGTCATAAGTCTAATACTATCCTTACCTTTTGTGTCACTTTACCCCACTCCCTCTAGCATGTAAGCTCATTGAGCAGGGCCCTCAACCCCTCTGTTCCTGTGTGTCCATCTTGTCTGGCTACAACTACATGCTTGTTCGTCCACTCACTGTAAAGCGGTGCGGAATTTGTTGGTGCTATATAAATAATAACATAATAATATGTCCTTGAGGGAGCAGAACCATTCAGAGCTAGTCTCTGTATTTATCATTAAGTGGTTTGTGTCACGTCTCCCTGTGCCACTGCATTGTGAGCTCTCTGACTATTGTTAAGGCATAATTTTCAAAGTAAATTAATTTGCAAAAACATATACTTTTCTTTTGACCTGGTCTGGGTTCGCTGGCGGAGTCTGAGGGGTTTGCGATGGGAGAAGGTTTATCCTTAGTGTATGACATTGAGCAGGTACATGTATGGCCCCTTAACACTGATTATTAATGCAAAGAGGTAGAAACTTGGTTTATATTTGCACTACATATCTCATTCACACGATCAAGCATGGATTTAGCTCGGTATCGTGCACTCTTTTAGGACCTGTGCATTGCCTGGTTGAAGATCGCTTCTCGCTTCGTGTGGCGCACCCTGCCACATGCAGAAGCACTAGAGTACAGTAGATGCAAACTTAATATGACCATCTCTAGGTTTGTCCGACATATCAGGGGTCAGTACTGGGACCTGGAGGGGGATCATTTAAATCTTATGAGGGAGAATGGGGTCCATTTAAATTTATTTGATCTGCACATTTTCAATTTAGGGATGCAGACTGGTATTGAACCGGTGCAGGCTGCTGGCGGGATGCAATAGCCGTCCAAAGTAATTGGGGCCATCATTGCGGTGGCGGTGCTTCTTGCCAGAGTAACAGTTTAATGAAGAAAGGTTGCCTAATTGGTCTTGAGCAGGCTTATTCTATGAATGAAATAGATAGAATCATGGAAGTTGTAGTTCAGCAACATCTGGAGGGCCGGAGTTTGGGGAAGCCTGTTCTTGAGGAGTCACGGCCTACATAAAAACTGATGGCTGCTCTTTGGTGAAAACTGTTGGAGAAAGGCCAAAGGTTATCTGCCTGCTAGTTCTCTCCCGGCAGCTCACAGGTTGTAATATTGTCGGTTTTATGCTAACAGGAAAGGTGCATTAATAAAGCTGTGGCTAATGCCCTACCCAATTTAAGTTTGTTTATGCCTTTTTTGGGCAATAGTTTATTATGGGCAAAAGTTTATTATAGGTGTTTGGGTAATCAGATCGTGGATCAGAAGTCAAGACATAACCCTGGGCACTGACCCCCTTGTTAACAGCCTTTTTAAAAATAAAATCCCCCAACTGCTGTGAATAGCATTAACTTACACTAGGGAGTTAGCATGAGAGTCCTACTAGTAGATAGCTTCGAGGATTTTTTTTACTTCGGTGGTAACTCATTTTACATGTTGTACAGATTTTTTAAAATTCTTTATTATTCGTTGTGCATGAAAGAACAGTATGCTTGCGTAGCCCCAACAGCAGTCGCAAGTAGTATGGTAAAAGGCAAAACAAGCATAGCAATGCATAAGAATAAAGAGCACATTTTTTGGATTAAGGTGAGAGGAGGTGTAGACAGTAGGTTGACATACCGTAACATAGAAATGTAGGCATGCCTAACTGTCTGTGGTGATAATGTAAGTTAATGTTCTACATTTGTGGTACATGCCGGTGAGATTTTAAGTTCAACATTGATTTGTATGAGCTGGCTAGAGTTTTTCAACGCTTTTAGGATATGCTAGGCATATTGATGGTGGCTTTTCTGTATATATACTAGCTAGAACTAATATTCATACACAGTTAACAAGCCAATAATGAAGGCATCAACATTAATAGCAAGGACATCAGTACAGAGCTCTGTCATGTTGGGTTAATGAGGGGGGAGAGGGCATTAAGGCTAGAACTGTAGCTTGTATCAGGAGGTTAGGGCCACTGGGTGTGCAGAGAGATTAGTATTAATTATCCTTGTAGGTAGTCTATCTAGGTATAGCAACAGTGCGTGTAAAAGAACTGTAGGTCCCCAATGTGGGTACTATGGAGACAGAATGGAGGGCACAGTGTGCTTCTTGCACCGTGGGTTCTGCAGTGCAGCAGGTAAAGTTCGTAGGTCGCTCAGCCAATGCCTGTAGCGAAACCGACCTCGCCACTGGGCATTGGAGAAGACTGATTGCCAGCCTCCTGCCATGTGACTATGGCCCCTGGGATGTATTACCCTTTAAAGAAATCATTTCATGTATCAGAGGCACATGGTGAGAACAATGGATGAAGCACATGGTGAGAACAATGGATGGCGGCCATTTTAACTCACAGATACTGTTTGGACTTTTCTACACGGTGCCATCTCGCCAGTATTTGGTGCACGAAGACATCGTTCAGTAGTTTTAAACTATACAACAGGGGACACATTATACAGTTATTATTTTCATATAGCCTGTATATGTTCTGTGGAATCTGCATTAAACTGTATCTTCCAAACTACTGAACGGATCTGGGTGAATTTTGGATATGTGGTTCACCCAGATCCCCCGGCTCCAATTATATGTGGTTATTGCATGTTTTGGGGTCCCTGTGATGTGTTTTATGATACTGTATTTTTCCTGCTGGTGATAATTATGTTAACCCATTGTGTGCCATAATTAGATCACAAGCAGAGGGGAGGATTTTGTGCATAATTGCTGGGAGTGTTTTCTGTAATGTACGTGTGTTATTGGTTGTTCTGTAAAACCCTGTGGGCAGTACTAAGTTTGTGGATTGGGAATAAAAGAGGCTGTATGTGCCAGTACAGTCAGTTCCTGCTTAACCCTCAAAGTGAAGTGTCGTCTCATTATTGGGGGAGGATTTATTGTATGCTGTTCCAGTTTGACTGTTAGGAGTGTAAACCTATTCGCATGGTTTTTCCTATTCGGCTGTATACAACATTCATATGCTTGAGAGCACTCGTATGCTTCTCCGGTTCGGTGGTTGTGGTGTCTGCTGCAGTGCATGGAGTCCTCAGGAAGTGCTAGGAGCATCCTTCAACGGAGGTAACCAGTCGGGGTGCCAGGTGATCCGTTACAATGCCCATAGAAGGAAAGTCCCGTTTCCGCCGTCGCCGACTACTCTGATGGGGGCTGTCTCACGAGCCCCGACCTCCCGGTCAGTAGGCCCAGGCGTCTCCAGACTCGCCTCCCAGCTCTCTGTCCGAGCTTTGAGTCGCGTCTCCTCAGATGTGTACTGCGGCCGGTATGTAGCTCCAGCACCAGGCAGTAGAGTGGATCTCTGTGTCGTGGCACAGGTTGTAGCTGCGACTGTAGAGGGTAGAAGTAGGCTATGCTGGTCCGAGGTTCTTGGGCCAGACGAGGTGCTTGCTTGAGGGGTTCGCTTAACATTCCAGCTCCTGTGCTTGTGGAGGCGAGTGCCAGGATCCAAGCAGTCTGGCGTCCCCGCCCGCCAAGATGAGCGTTGGTATCTGTGTTGCCGGGTAGCAGCTTTTGGGGCTCGAGGCAGAGGACCACAGTGGCGGCGCCGGGTTACGGGTCGGATCCAGGATGCCACCGCTCTCACCGCTTGGTAATATGTCAGTCCCTGGTTATAAAGTAGCATCCTGAAGCTCCCACAGAGCCAGTCAAAGGGCTCCAGGGACCGCGTCGCCGGCCCGGCGCTTGTGCCTTTGGACTTGGGCCTTTGCTGGGCCGCCATCTTGGTCGAAACCGGTGAGTCCGTCATCTGCCTTGATATGCCGCTCCAGTGGGGACCGGGAAAACCCCCACCGGTACAAGGGGAGGGAATGCTGGGTGCTGGTGTCATCATTCGGGAGCTCCAGGGCTGGGGAGAGCGTCCATCTCACCCCGGCTCCAACTCCAGTAGGCCGCACATGGCATCAGTGGCGTCGCTAGGGGGGTGCCAGAGGGGGCCATGGCCCCCCCTACATCATGCTGTGCCCCCCCTTGGGCCCCCCCAAATGCCAGCAACTTGCTGGCCATAGGCTTCCCTCGGGCTGTAACAATGTGTGTGTCTGTCACAGCCCGAGGGAAAGCAGGAGAGAGGTGCTGGGGGCTGTCTGTGGCCGGAGGGAGCACTGATTGGCTCCCCGGCACAGGCTCCGCCCCCAAACGAAGCCCCGCCTCCCGCCGATAAGCCACGCCCCCGCCGTAATGCAGCAGCCCATGCTGCTTCACAAGATGGCTGCCTGACCCCCAGTGACAGGTAGGCTGGGGGGGGGGGAGATGTACACACACACATTGCCCCCATACACACACACTGCCCCCATACACACACATTGCCCCCCATACACACACATTGCCCCCCCATACACACACTGCCCCCATACACCCATACATGCTCCCCATAGACACACATTGCCCCCATACACACACATTGCCCCCATACACACACACTGCCCCCCACACACACATTGCCCCATACACACACATTGCCCCATACACACATTGCCCCCACACACACACATTGCCTCCATACACACACATTGCCCCCATACACACACATTGTCCCCATACACACACATTGTCCCCATACACACACATTGCCCCCCATACTTTCCATACACACACCCCCCATACACACACACTTGCCCCCCATACAGCCCCATACACACTCATTGCCCCCCATACTGCTCCCCATAGACACACATTGCCCCCCATACTGCCCCCCATACACACAGACTGCCCCCCATACACACACATTGCCCCACACACTGCCCCCCATACACACACTCTGCCCCCCCATACACATACACTCTACACACATACACTATCCCCATACACACACACTGTATGGACTCAGCAGTCTGTGTGTGTGTATGGACTGAGCAGTCTGTGTGTGTGTGTGTGTGTATGGACTCAGCAGTGTGTGTGTATGGACTCAGCAGTCTGTGTGTGTGTGTGTGTGTGTGTATGGACTCAGCAGTCTGTGTCTGTGTCTGTGTGTGTATGGACTCGGCAGTCTGTGTGTGCATAGACTCAGCAGTCTGTGTGTGTGTATAGACTCAGCAGTCTGTGTGTGTATAGACTCAGCAGTCTGTGTGTGTACGGACTCAGCAGAGTCTGTGTGTGTGTACGGACTCAGCAGAGTCTGTGTGTGTGTGTACGGACTCAGCAGAGTCTGTGTGTGTATAGACTCAGCAGAGTCTGTCTGTGTATGTGTGTGTGTGTGTGTGTGTGTGTGTATGGACTCAGCAGTCTGTGTGTGTGTGTGTGTGTATGGACTCAGCAATCTGTGTGTGTATGGACTCAGCAGTCTGTGTGTTTGTGTGTGGACTCAGCAGAGAGTGTGTGTTTGTGCACTCAGCAGTCTGTGTGTGTGTGTATGGACTCAGCAGAGTGTGTCTGTTTGTGTGTATGGACTCAGCAAAGTGTGTGTGTGTGTGTGTACGGACTCAGCAGAGTCTGTGTGTGTCTACGGACTCAGCAGAGTCTGTGTGTGTGTACGGACTCAGCAGAGTCTGTCTGTGTGTACGGACTCAGCAGAGTCTGTGTGTGTGTACGGACTCAGCAGTCTGTGTGTGTTTGTGTGGACTCAGCAGAGTCTGTGTGTGTGTGTATGGACTCAGCAGAGTCTGTATGTGTGTGTATGGACTCAGCAGAGTCTGTGTGTGTGTGTATGGACTCAGCAGAGTCTGTGTGTGTGTGTATGGACTCAGCAATCTGTGTGTGTGTGTGTGTGGACTCAGCAGTGTGTGTGTGTGTGTGTGTATGGACTCAACAGTGTGTGTGTATGGACTCAGCAGTCTGTGTGTGTGTATGGACTCCGCAGTCTATCAATAATTAAAATTCCTGTGAGTTGTTGTGTAGGAAGGGCCCCAGTGTATTGCTTTGCCCAGGGGCCCTTAACTCTGTTAAAATGGTACTGCTTGTGTGTGTCAGTGAGCTTCTATTTAGTGAGCATGTGTGTGTCAGTGAGCTTGTTTTTAGTGAGCTTGTGTGTGTGTCCCTGAACTTCTTTGTAGTGAGCCTTCTGTTTATACAAGTGAGTGTCTGTAGTAAGCTTGTGTGTGAGTCAGAGAGTTTTGTCTGTCAGTAAGCCTATTTGCGCATGTCAGTGAGCTTGTGTGCTTACTGTACTATATATATATATATATATATATATATATATATATTGACTTGTAGGAATGGCATATGTTTTTTTTCCAGGGCTGCTTTGGATTTCCAGGGATTCCCAGTTTGGCTCTGCCAGCGAGTGCACTTTACCACTGAATAATCTGTGTGAGCTGCCGCACACTTTAGCCCTGTTACACGCGTCTGGGAGCTGCTGTTGACAGGTACTAGTAGTCTAGAGATTGGGGTATATGCTCAGCTATCTGTATAATACAGATCTGTGTGTATAAAATATCCCGGGATAGTCAGTGCTTCCTGTATAGTGCTGCTCTCTGTCTTGGGATATGATACACAAACAGACCTGTATTATACAGAGAGCAGCACTATACAGGGAGCACTGAGTGTCCCAATTTATTATACACACACAACCCTGTATTATACAGAGAGCACTGACTGTCCAGGGATATTATACCCAGACAGTAATTGATAGCTGTGCTGCAAAATGTCCTTGGAAATTTTTTTTTCAAATGTTGGCAACTATGGCACTGTATCAAGGATAATGTGTTTGTTTTTTTAATAATCCCTGGTGGAAAATAATGAATCCTCCACCAGGTATTATTAAAAAAACAAAACACATTGTGTCGGGGGCGTGGCTTAACATGCGACAAGGGTGGGGTCAAACTGCGGCGAGGGCGGGGTTAAATGTGCCCCCCTACTTTTGTCACTGGCCCTCCATGTGCCCCCCCGAAAAATGAATCCTAGAGACGCCACTGCATGGCATCCTGTGCCCCTGGTCTCGACGGACCTCGGAGTTACATGTTTTGGTTCCGTGGTGCCTCCCCAGCATGGATAGTGCACCCTCGTGAGCCCCGTGGCTTTGTAGCCACCGCTATTACCCCAGTTTTTGTCCGTCATGCAGGAGCTCATGTCACCCACGTCTGCTTCGTTTGGCAGTCAAGCTCCGCACCCGGTTGTACAGGTTTTTATGAGAAATAGTAAGTCAACCCTACAGTGACTAGGTAAAAAAATAAGTAGGGAGATTACCAAACCAAAAATTCTGAGAAAGATGTGATAGAAGGGGCCTCAGCAGTGGGGGTTGACCACTCCTAGTGGGCCCCCAAATAAAAAGGTGCCATTTATTATTATTAGCCCCTAGTTCCTTGTTCTTTGCCTGGCCCGGAGTAGGGCACTCAGGGCTAATAATAAACCTTGTTTGCTTCCGGCCTGGTGCTGACAATTATGATGGGCTTAATTACAGAATCGTATCGACAGAAAACACTAAAACAGCTGATGTGAATTATGTAACCAGAACCGCCCAAAGGAAAAACATGCCCAAAAAGGGGGCGTGTCTGCACCAAGAATTCGATGGTCAGCCTGGCATGATTGCACGTCAGGCAACCTGTCAATCATGCAGGATGACCAACCAAGGGCATACTGTGCAGACAGCACCCTGAGCTTGGCATAAATGCATCTAATGATGCTAAAGCTCTACGCTTTCTAAGGACTGTCCCCTAGCACTTGCTGGTCAACCCTCTCCTAACCTTCTTACTAGTAGTCAGAAGCATCTGTTATACAGTCTGGGACAGGGAAAAGTGTATGTAATGAGTGTAGAAGAAAGGGAACATGCCACAGTGTTAGAGAAACTGAAGCAGCAAGAGCATTTACTTAGTGTGCAGTCAGCTTTACCTTAAAATGAACACTATAGGGTCATGAACACAACCATGTATTCCTGACCCTATAGTGCAAAATCCACCAATTAGGTGGCTTGCCCCCCCTTAATAGATATTAAAACTCACCGTATTTCCAGCACCGCATAGGTCTGTCAACACTGGCTTCACCCCCTTGGTGACATCATCAGAATTGCCGATTTTTAGCCAATCCAATACTGTTCCATGGAAAAAGCAGTGAATTGGATAAAATCGTCAAGGGGCGGGGCCAAACACCGTTTTGACCAATCAGCACCTCCTCATAGAGATGCATTGAATCATTGCATCTCTATGAGGAAAATTCAGTGTCCCCATGCAGAGCATGGAGACGCTGAATAGCAGTGCTGCCTACCGTGCAGCACTGAGCCAGGAAGCACCTCCAGTGGCCATCTGAGAAGTGGCCACTTGGTGGTGTCCCTAGGGGCAATGTAAACACTGCCTTTTCTCTGATAAGGCAGTATTTGCATAAAAATGCTTGCAAATAATGATTATACTCACTAGTGATGCACCGAACGGTTCACCAGCGAATAGTTCCTGGCGAACATAGCATGTTCGCGTTCGCCACGGCGGGCGAACATATGCGCGGTTCGATCCGCCCCCTATTCGTCATTATTGAGTAAACTTTGACCCTGTACCTCACAGTCAGCAGGCACATTCCTGCCAATTAGCAGCACACCCTCCCTAGCAGACCCTCCCACCTACTGGAAGGCATTCATTTTACATTCATTCTCAAGCTGCATGCTTAGTGAGAGGAGGGAAAGTGTAACTGCTGTTGATTAGATAGGGAAATGCATAGCTAGATTAGGGTATACAGTGTCCACTACAGTCCTGAAGGACTCATCTGATCTCTGCTGTAAGGACAGCATCCCAAAAAGCCCTTTTTAGGGCTTGAACATCAGTCTGCTTTTTTTTTTTCTTTTTTCTTTTGTGTAATTTAATTGCAGTTGCCTGCCTGCCAGCTTCTGTGTCAGGCTCACAGTGGATACTGTGCCCAGTGCCACCACTCACTCACTGGTGTCACAATAGCTTGCATTTAAATTTTTTTTAAAAAAATTCACTATAATAGATCGAATAGCAGTTAGTTGTCTGCCAGCTTCTGTGTCAGGCTCACAGTGGATACTGTGCCCAGTGCCACCACTCACTCACTGGTGTCACAATAGCTTGCATTTAAAACCAAAAAACTTTTTTCACTGTTATAGACTGAATAGCAGTTAGTTGTCTGCCAGCGTCTGTGTCAGGCTCACAGTGGATACTGTGCCCAGTGCCACCACTCACTCACTGGTGTCACAATAGCTTGCATTTAAAACCAAAAAACTTTTTTCACTGTTATAGATTGAATAGCAGTTAGTTGTCTGCCAGCGTCTGTGTCAGCTCACAGTGGATACTGTGCCCAGTGCCACCACTCACTCACTGGTGTCACAATAGCTTGCATTTAAAAACCAAAAAACTTTTTTCACTGTTATAGATTGAATAGCAGTCAGTGTCCTTAAAGCGGTTGTGTCGGGCTCACAGTGGATACTGTGCCCAGTGCCACCACTCACTCACTGGTGTCACAATAGCTTGCATTTAAAAACAAAAAACTTTTTTCACTGTTATAGATTGAATAGCAGTTAGTTGTCTGCCACTGCTGCCAGCTTCTGTGTCAGGCTCACAGTGGATATTGTGCCCATTTGCCCAGTCAGTGCCACCACTCATATCTGGTGTCACAATAGCTTGCATTTAAAAACAAAAAACTTTTTTCACTGTTATAGATTGAATAGCAGTCAGTGTCCTTAAAGCGGGTGTGTTACGCTAACAGTGGATACGCTGACCAGTGCCACTAATTAGATCTGGTGTCACAATAGCTTGGATTTAAAAAAACAAAAACTTTTTTTTCACTGTTATAGATTGAATAGCAAAGTTAGTTGCTGTCTGCAAGCTGCCTGTGTGTCAGGCTCTAACGATACTGTGCCTATTCTGCCCAGTGCCACCACTCACTCACTGGTGTCACAATAGCTTGCATTTAAAAACAAAAACTTTTTCTACTGTTATAGATTGAATAGCAGTTAGTTGTCCTAAAGCTGGTTTGTCAGCCCTACAGCTGTACTCTGCCAGTTCACAGTGCCACTCTTTATCTGGTGTCACATTAGCGCATTTAAAAACCAAAAAACTTTTTTCACTGTTATAGATTGAATAGCAGTTAGTTGTCTCAAAGCGGGTGTGTCAGGCTCACAGTGGATACCAGCTAGTTCACAGTGCCACCTATATCTGGTGTCATAATAGCATGCATTTAAAAACCCAAAAACTTTTTTCACTGTTATAGATTGAATAGCAGTTAGTTGTCTCAAAGCGGGTGTGTCAGGCTCACAGTGAATACTGTGCCAGTTCACAGTGCCACTCATATCTGGTGTCACAATAGCGTGCATTTAAAACCAAAAAACTTTTTTCACTGTTATAGATTGAATAGCAGTTAGTTGTCTGCAAGCTTCTGTGTCAGGCTCATAGTGGATACTATGCCCAGTGCCACCACTCACTCACTGGTGTCACAATAGCTTGCATTTAAAAACAAAAACTTTTTTTCACTGTTATAGATTGAATAGCAGTTAGTTGTCTCAAAGCGGTTTGTCAGCCCTACAGCTGTAATACTCTTACAGTTCACAGTGCCACTCTTATCTGGTGTCACAATAGCTGCATTTAAAAACCAAAAATCCTTTTTTCACTGTTATAGATTGAATAGCAGTTAGTTGTCTCAAAGCTGGTGTGTCAGGCTCACAGTGGATACTGTGCCCATTTGCCCAGTCAGTGCCACCACTCATATCTGGTGTCACAATAGCTGCATTTAAAAACAAAAAACTTTTTCACTGTTATAGATTGAATAGCAGTCAGTGTCCTTAAAGCGGGTGTGTCAGGCTCACAGTGGATACTGTGCCCAGTGCCACCACTCACTCACTGGTGTCACAATAGCTTGCATTTAAAACCAAAAAACTTTTTTCACTGTTATAGATTGAATAGCAGTTAGTTGTCTGCCAACGTCTGTGTCAGGCTCACAGTGGGTACTGTGCCAGTTCACAGTGCCACTCATATCTGGTGTCATAATAGCTTGCATTTAAAAACAAAAAAACTTTTCCACTATAATAGATTGAATAGCAGTTAGTTGTCTGCCAGCTTCTGTGTCAGGCTCACAGTGGATACTGTGCCTACTTGCCCAGTGCCACCACTCACTCACTGGTGTCACAATAGCTTGCATTTAAAAACAAAAAACTTTTTTCACTGTTATAGATTGAATTGCAGTTAGTTGTCTCAAAGCGGGTGTGTCAGCCCTACAGCGTGTACTCTGCCAGTTCACAGTGCCACTCTTATCTGGTGTCACAATAGCGTGCATTTAAAACCCAAAAAACTTTTTTCACTGTTATAGATTGAATAGCAGTTAGTTGTCTCAAAGCGGGTGTGTCAGGCTCACAGTGGATACTAAAGAAGTTCTACAGTGCCACTCACTCACTGGTGTCACAATAGCTTGCATTTAAAAACAAAAAACTTTTT